TGGTGGTTCCAGGCAGCCCGAGCTCGGGAGTGCGGGAACACGAAAAAAAATTTTCACACGAAAATCGCAGTCTTTTTCATCAAAACACGGAACGCGATTGGACTGTTGTATCAAGAAAAGTGGAGAAGTGACTAAGCTTGAAAAGGGCTGTAAAACGACGTATGAATCAGTACCCAATACCCCCAAATGTGGGGGTTGGGTTGGAGGGTGCGTAGTTGTTTTTCGCGGAGTCTAATATCGAGTGGTTGAAGAAGGTGAGATAAATAAGGAGGCATATAAAGTGGAATAATTAAATTTTCCATGCAGTATAATCAAATTCAGCAGTTGCATGGCTCCCGTGGCCATCAAAATAAGTAATCGATATTGACCAACAGTGCGGGATCTTGTATGCTTGTTAAAAACTTCTTGTAGCCATTTAAGTCCCAGATTATTATTAGTCCAGCCATTCTCACTAAGACTTAGTCGATAATCTTTAGGTAGAACAGAATACCACTGAGATTGATGTTGTTTTCCAGCAAAGATAATCTGGGGGGGTAAAACCCAACCACTTGCTCCAACAGTTACAATTGATGTAACCCATTCTCTATTACCTGGTTGGATTGATTTAGCATCAGATCTGCGTGTTTCTGCGCCGCAGACAACTTTGGCTGTTATGTTACACCCATTTGGAAGCCAGTTTCGTCCATGTTGTAGATATCTTGTTCTAAAATGCCATATTTTTGTATAGTATTTTGAACCAATTGAAACCAGCCTTGAATAACCTGTGGATCTTCACACTTCGCCCGCTGGTAGTCATATCGACGATTATATCTTGACTTAATATCATCATGGCGGGAAATAAATCGAGTAACCCATTTACTACTGACTAGATCAGGGATAGAGGCCGGGGATAACGACGAAGTCTTTTGACGTGCAGATATTAAAAGACCAGCAAGATATTGAATTTGGGAGATCCGTTGAGGCAGACCACGGTTAGCCATATTAATAATCCATCTTTTAATATATCCTCTTCAAGATTGGACAATTTCCGGCTATTAGCAATAATATTATTGCGGTTGCTTCTTCCTTTAAGTCGATAAAGAAGAGTTCTTGAAGAGACATCAAATGCCTTGGCACAGGCAGTTTTGGATAAAAATTGGTTATTATTCCATGCATTAACAGCCATTTTCATTCTCTCATCCATTGGTATGGCACTTATTTTGGTATATTAATAAAATACTGATGAAAATCAAGATAAAAAGGCTTTGAATACTGAGATGTTTGAATATTTCCAGGAAGAGCGGTGAGCGGCGCGCCGCTCGGTGTCTTGCGCCGCTCGGTGTCCAACTACTTTATTCTCCGATGGATTAGTATGGATATGGATGGATTATTTGTCCATCTTTCTCTATTCCTGCCTGGGCCGCCTTACTGCTTTTTTGCTTAACCCCATTTTCCAGTATCTCCACATACCCACGTTTAGGCTTCAATTTTTCCCTCAATTTTTATTCTCTATTATCTGAATATAGATTCTAAAGTAGATCTAGGCTGACCGTTGGGAAGGGAAATTCCCATGGGAAATCGGGATGGGATTCCCGTCCCATAAAAACAGGACGCTTTTCTAAGATTTTATGGGAATGGGAATGGGAAGGGAATGCCAAGAGATTCCCACTGGGATTCCCCTTCTTTCTGGATGGGAATTGGGGTAAGAAATGGGATCACACTTACTGATGGGAAGGGAATGGGAATTTGGGAAATTCCCTTGGGATTAGGTGGGAACTTCCCATACTAAATCACGTGATTAATAATTACTGTATATACTGTATAGTTACTACTAAAAACTGCTACTTTAAAAATATACTAAACCTAATTAGGAAATGGGACTGGAAATGGGAAGAGTATTTTTATAATTTAGGGATGGGATTTCCCTCCCATATTTCTTGGCATGGGATGGGATTATCCCATCCCGAATCCCATGTAATGGGAATCCCTTCCCATTTTCTTGAGACGGGATTCGGGACCAACCCCAGGATCCTTATGGGAATATGGGACGGGACCAGACCTCCCTCGGGATCCCGAATCCCTCCCAACGGCCAGCCTAAACTGTAGATCCGTTACTCCTTGCTTCTTCAGCAACATTAGATTCAAGCTTAGTTTAATCAACACGAAGCCGGACAGCCCTTGCAACATGGGCCCATGCTTGTACAGCAGTAGATTATAAACCTGAATTTAAAGGTCAAAACTGTGACGGCCAAGCAATTTGATGAAATTGGTGCTATCTCAACGAAAATTTCATGCGTAGGGAGGAGAAAGAAAGGTGGTGAGGGGGCGGTGCGGAGAAGTAAATAAAACTAGATACAAACAATGCAAACAGACCATGTGCACCGTCACAAAAACCGTATTATATATTGCATTTATTTTCCACCTGAATCACTATATACTAGTCCAATTACCACTAATTTTTAAAGACATCTGAATTTAAAGCATTAGATTAAGGTTACAGAAGATCCGCGTCGGGTATAATTAGCTATATAATTAATCCATCCCGAGAATGGATTGAAGCCGGCATTATGTAATGGAAAACCAGCCTGTTTTCGAGTAAAACATTGAGTCTATTTCATTAATATTAGATTTATTAGGGCCGAATATTTTCTTTCCAGATGTATAAGGATAAACAATATAATAATTTTGGGTAAACACATAGTGGGCGAAGGCGGTGGGTGTGGGCAAGTTTTGCAATGGTTGCAGATGGTTCCCAAGAGTTAACATTAGATAATCATAGTAGCAGCACTAGGTAATTGGTAGAAAACAAGTCTACAATCTTTATATATACTTGCACACTATTATTGGTTATACAATCCTTGTGTGTAGGATATAAAATAATTATTTATTTATATAATTTAATTGCTACATATATCTACTACAATTATAGAAGAGTTTTATATATATCTACTACGGTAAGGCAATAATTGGTGCCACACTTTACTACTAGTATATAATCCTCCAGAATGGCAATATTTTTATTATTTCCTATTTAGGAAACATACAAAATCGTCAACATTCATTCTTTGTTTGGCGGCTTGCTAATCAAGGCCCCTATACCTACGTCCTTGTCTCTTAAAATATCTTTCTCTCCAGTCCTTATTTTCACTTTTCTTCCTTCAACTCCTTACCACTGTATAATATTCTGTGTTTAATTACTATTTTATCTTAATACCCACTGTATTTCACCTCTATATTAAATAATATAAAACTAGAGCTGCAGCTGACTTATTCTATACCAAACAGAGGCCCTATTTCCTACTAAAAGTCAACATAGTGGCGGAAATGAGCGACAGCGGAGACAGTGACTATGCTACGGTGGAGTTTGGTGCAACCGGTTAGTTAACAGTAGAAACCCTTTTTAGAGGCCCTATACTAACCCATATTGTATACAGGTGCACATAAAGCCCCTGAAAAAAAACAGGAGATAGTAAAGGTAAGGGGAGCAGGAAAAAAACCCCTTAAACAGGCACTGGGAATAGGCAGCGACTGTCACGGGCTACGCCTGTATGTTGCTCGGCTTCACCTTCGCTGCAATCGACACATATGATTGGTCCGCTTATCGCAGTTATATAACCCCTTGTAGTATAAGAACGCACACTTCTTTCCCTTTACTTTCTTCCTTTCAGCGATTCCTCTTTGTGTATATCTAGTTATTAGATAGCAAGGCATTTCGCCCCTTTACAAAGTAGCTGGAAAGAATATTGGAGGCAGAGAATATCAATGGCAGCGATCTGCAATTGAGGCCCTTTAAGAGGCTTCTGAGGCAATGCTAGTCACTGTCCACTGAATTTAGCAGTATATTTATTTCTGCAATATACTAATTAATATACTAATCGATTGTTTCTTTAGTGGCTAATCTGGCAGCTATCCATGCAAAGCGCGTTATAATTATGCAGAAGGATATGCACTTCGTTCAACATTTAAGGCAGATAATAACTGGTAATAAGATGCCAGGAAATAAATAAGCTTGGTATTTATTTATTTCCTATTCAATTTCTTAGTTAATATTGTAATTAATGACCTCACCAATATTATGGTTAGTATCGACATTAATTACCTACCTAAATGTATAAACTTTGATGAAGTAAGCAAATTGCACGGATAAATGTATTTTTTGGTGGCAGTTTGTAAGTTTACCCAAAAACACTTTTGTCCACACTGCTCGATTCAGTCCGCCGTACTATGGTGAGCGCTCTCATTGCATCTCTGAGCGCGAATTCCCTTGGAGCCGTCGCGCCCAACACCGCCAATGAGTAGAGCGAGGGAGTGAACAAGTTACTCACTGAGACATAGACTGCTACACGAAGATCACTTCGTTCGTCAAACAGCAACAAAAATGTACTCGTCCAAAATGCTATACGAGTTTGTGTGCAAGAATCTACCCGTTGCACAGAGGGACTGTCGATCACCCGACCTGCGACTGGGGCGAGACCCATAAAAAGGAAAATATCGGATCGCAGGTCAGCAAGGTGCAGGACACAGGTCAGTGGTAACGGCAGAGGGATGCGGGAAGTGGTGTTGAAGTGTTGGGGTTGTTTTATTCTTAACCGAGGTTTGTATGATTGGTTTGTTCTGATATGGGACGTTATACCTGATCTATTGATGGTGAAATGAGGTTGTGTATTTGTTGGTATTGATAGGCATAAAGATGCATACTGTTTATAGTAGATAATATAGAGCAGAGTTTTAATTGAAAACAGGTCCCTGCTTAATTTATCGTTGGGGTAATTACCTCCTGATCTTTGAAAGGTGCCACCTTATATACATGATCCATTGTTGCCTGTCGACTATATATAACCTAACAGGAAAGCAAGCCACGCTTGTCTCCTATATAAAGTAGCACTATTCGGAAAGTCGGCGTTGACACTCCGGTGCGAGGAAAGGGAGAATAATAATCATGACACGAAAAAAGAAACAGGAGTAAAGCTAAGCATTTGGATGGAGCGAAGCATTATTCCAGTACTATATAAATGACTGTCTCACGCTTGCTTCGTGCCCTTCGGCACCCTTGCAACCCAGTACAGGAAGAACGTCGCAGTTATATTCACCACCACATACACAGCCAGGAAACCCAGATCCCTCCATTGGCCGGTTATATCGATACCCAAGGCTTCGAGCGCCGAGTTTGTATCTGCCACCGAGCAGAACAGGCAGTCCCCGACCGTGGCGTTGGGATTCAACACCATTCCACCCGTAGTGCTCACGTAGGCAGTCATGTAGTCGCCGCAGGATGTCGCGTTCGCGGGCAATGTGATCCGAAGTAGATCAATCGTCGCACAATGAAGCTTCGTATTTGCGAGAGCCGCGATAATCATCCCATCCATCAGGTATGTCACCGGGCTTACTCGATACATGAAGATCCAGAATCTCGGTAATGCGCCGGGCTGCACGAGAATACCGCAGAAGATCAGGCAGAGCGTGAAAAGGAGGTTGGCGATGTTGACGGCAGTGAGAGAGTCCTGCATTCCAGCGGCGATCGCCTGGGAGAGCGTGGACGAGAAGACAAAGAAGAGCCAGATCAGAAGGAAGACCAAAATTGCTCGTTGACTCATGGTGAAGTTGCCATCATCTAGGCCGTTCCGCCAGAATCCAGTTGGATAGTACCACGCCACAAAAACCAGCACCGAGGTCAGGGATTGCCATACAAGCTCTACAATCATGTTGGCGGCGACGAAGACAATCCAATTATATGTTTTGGACGGCTTTTCACGGGCCTCAAACTGATCACGATTGTCAATGAAGCGCGGGATGATCTGCTGGTCGACCGTGTTGAAGATGATCGTCAGAAGAAAGCAGGAGAAGAGCGAACTGGTGAGTCCCTGAACATCTTTGTGGAGCATCCAGAAGGAGAGTCCGTTGAACAGAGCCTGGATTTGAAGTCAGATATGAATGATAAACAGCGGCGGGGGAAAGACATACTGCACCAACACATAGGGCAAGTTTGGAGTAGAGATATGTCGGATCTCGCCAGTAATCTTGAAACATCCGATAGGTGACAAGCCATAATTGCTGCAGAGACGGGGCTGCGTAGTCATGGTCTTCAACACCCAGGGTGGTGGTGGACGTCGTCGTCTCTTGCACACCTTCCGACTTCTGAGCATCCGTCCCCAACCTTGCGATCTGTAGCTGGACAGCTTCTCTCTCCGCACTTTTACTCCAGATCTCAGACCACTCCGGGGCAGATGACGAACTCGTCACCTCAAGCAACCACTCTGCTGGGTTCTCCCCTTCTTCTGGATACCGGGCACCTGCCCGTTCAAAGTAATCTATCAGTGTCGTCGCCGAGCGACCCACATCACCAAAATATACTGTCTTACCTCCTTTCAAAAGGAGAAGTCGATCAAACATCTGGAAGAGCTCTGCTGATGGTTGATGGATAGTACACAAGATTGCTTGCCCGTTGTCTGCGAGTTTGCGCAACAGGATACAGATTGACCAGGCTGTCTGACTATCAAGGCCCGACGTGGGCTCATCCAGGAAGAGTAGAAGCTCTGGCCGGGCTGCCATTTCTATTGCAATGGTCAATCGCTTGCGTTGCTCGATGTTGAGGCCTTTCCCGGGTACTCCCACGACCGAATCTGCGTACGACTCCATCTCCAACATATTCAGTACCGTGTCCACGTAGGAAAGCTTTTGCGCCCTTGACCGATCTCGGGGCTGTCGGAGGAGGGCGCTGAATTGGAGAGCTTCACGGACCGTTGCCGAGCGCAGATGGATGTCGGCTTGCTGCACGTATCCCGTCTTGCGTTGAAAGCATCTGTCTCGCGGCCTTCCGTCAATGCGGACATCGCCATGAACGATTCCAACGGACTTCCGGTTGGCCAGTACATCTAACAGAGTGGTCTTCCCAGCTCCTGTTGATCCCATCAAGGCTGTTAGAGTGCCCCGAGCCACCCAGCCGTCGATTCCATCAAGGATTCGAGACAATCCCTTGCCCACTTGGACCTCGTACCCTACATTGCTCCAATAAAAGGCCGACGACTGCTTCGCTAGCCCTTCAATAAGTACATCGGACCCTCGCCTTGGGCTCGGACGATGTTCGGTAATTCCTTTGGTCTGTATCGAGCCCTGGACGCTCTCCTCGTCCCCCGGTAATCGGTGACTGAGGTCTTTCCGACGGAAGAGGAGGATGTCGCCCTTGGACTTTTCCGCCTGGATATACTCCGCAGCGAGAAGATGAACAACACAGAAGCTGACCATCAAAGCAAAGAGAATTCCGAGATTCCTCCACAGATGATCTACAGTATAGCCATACTTGAGCTTCAGGAACTGATTCCCTTCCACAGAAGATTCACCATGCACGCTCCCGATTGCTGAGCAGACCTTGCCGTTCATACTACTGTCACTGTACGTTGGTCCGGACGGCACAGTGGCAGAGCAGGGAAATTGGCGGTTGCGAAATTCATTGATCATGAGGCTCTCGTTGGCATAAGCGATGGGGTTGAACCACCTGATCCAACTGAGCCAGGGGACTTGGTAGTGCGGTGGAATAACAAAGCCGGCATAAATAATGAAGTTGAAAATCATGATCGACACCGGGGCCAGAGACTGAGCGTAGGTACGTGATAGAGACCCGACCGAGCGAAAGATCATGGACATGGTCACCATGACCACGAAGCCAAATAACCAGAAGATGAAGAATGCTGCGGTGCTGCGCCGCAGGTTGGTCAGGAAATAGATGCATACGTTGAAGAAGAGTGAGGTGACGACCTTGACGGGTAAATCGGCTAGTATTGACGAGATGCCTTCTGCCACGGGGTGGTAGAAGGCGTAGCGGGTGTGTTTTTCGACAATGGGCCGCTGCGCCCACAAACTGTTGACTTCAAACGCCGGAAGACAGGAGTTCATCATTGTCGCGTAGAAGATCAGGATGCTGCGGGCTTGGAAGCTGTCCGTATTCTCTGCGAGGTTGTAAAACACGCTTCCCAAAATGATGGCGAGGATGGTGTTGCCGACGACTCCAGAGACGAGTCCTGGCACATTATGCCGTGACCTGACGAAGGCTCTGTCCACACAGGTGCGAATCTGATGGACAATGGTCGTTGGGTAGACCGCAGGATGACGACTTCCTTGGTTTAAAGGAGGATGCAATCGGCTGAACTCTTCCGTCTCCTTCCTCACAGCCTGCGACTCAGGGCTTCTCCGCCACGCCGCAGCAAACTCATCCGGCGTCCGGGGCACTCGAGCCTCGAAGCCAGGCTGTACAATGCGTTCGTTCGCGTTGGTTAACGAGGTCAGAAAATCCGCCGTCGTCGCGCGCGCGGGGCGGACGAATCCCGAGCGGATGAAGTATTCCGCAGCCTCTTCGGTAGGTCCAAAATATATCTGGCGCCCCTCATACAGAAGTAGCACCTTATCGAATTTCTGGTACAGAACTTCAGGTGCTTGGTAGATGGTCGTCATAACTGTCGACCTCAAGGTATCCGTGGCGCGGCGCAGCATCCGGACGAAATTCAGCGCCGTCGCACTGTCTAGTCCGCGTGTGCTGTTATCCCAACACTGAATGGGACATCTACTAAGAAAGGCTTCTGCAATACTCGTTCGTCGTTTTTCGCCCCCACTGAGTCCACGAACCATCTCATTCCCGACTTGCGTATGCAGTGATTGCTCCAGTCCGAAGATGGCGGCTGATAGGGGACCGACCTCTCTCGCAGACAACTCCCCGTGTGGTCTCATCTCGGCGGCAAAGGACAGCGTTTCCCCCAGCGTCAACTCGGGAAAGTGGACATCATTTTCGGCCAGGTAGATGCTGTCGCCCCGGAATTTGCAGTGCATCTCGGTGAACGAGATTCCTGGCACGGCCGTCAGCTTGCTCGTCTTCCTCCGCCAAGTATAACAAATACTCACCCTGGTAATTAATCTTGCCCTCATCCACTTCCAGTCCGTGAACATCACCAGCCATAGTCTTCAGGAACGTCGTACAGCCACTTCCTGGGCGCCCTAGCACCAGGAGCATCTCCCCCGGCCGGACCAGGCCATCCAGATGCCGCAGAATCCGCACTTTCTGTCGCTGGCCCATTCCCAGCAGGACTTTCAGATAGATTGGGAGAAGCCGGATATAGCTCGCGAACGTGTGCTGAAACTGCGTCGCTTCGGTGTACCCATTCACATTCGCATCTGTAAACGACAGTCCGCGCGGACTGCGTCGGTGGTTCTGGCGCGTCTTCTTCCGTGCCAGCCATCTTTCGAGTGGATCCTTTACCTCATCCACCAGGCTTGCCATACTTGGAATGATCTGACGACGCGTCGCTTGGGATACAACAGGGAAGGAGACCTGCTTCAATCCGGTTCGTGCTGGGTGGTGTAGTGTGAATGGGAGACTGGAGTTGCTTACTGAGGTTGGGTGTACACGTCAAGGCTCCCCGTACCGTTTATTTTCCACCCAGGGGGAACCCTCCAATTCGTATCACTTGCCACTACCAGGGTTAGGTGCATGGGTAAGTAGTATTAGCTTAATTGGGAAAATGAAGCAGCCAACCGCGGCCCACAATGCTTGCTTTTGCCTACCAAGTCATTTTCCTAGTAGTGTGCGAGTCAAAACTAGACAGGGACGCAGCGTTATAGTGCTACCTGTTCGGAGCCCATAAATAAGAAATGACAGGGTACCGTATGATCCGCCAAGTCCATTTGCCCTGTGCTTACTGATCCTTGAGCCCAAATCCTGCCGACTATTGTTGGAGGAGAGGGCGCTACTGGAATCAACAAACATCCATACGGCATGATCAGGGTATATTAGACCAATTAATTAGCGCAAGGCAGAATCCTTGGCCCCAGAGATGAACCGCCTGGCGAGTTAGCTGATGAGGTGGAGATCCACCCTGTCATTCTAGTTCATAATCGTTACGGGAATTCCCGTCTAGTGCATGGAAGCCGTCTCCCCCATCTGTGCTTAGTCTACTATTCCCGCTCCTCCTGATAGTGCTCCAATGTGTCGTTTCATAAATACTGACATTTCGCCGCCATTTTATGGAATTTACCAGCACTGCCTCCTGCACCGTGGTGGGGTTGGCAAGTAGTATGAAAGGTTATTCATTCACCTCTCGCTCACATGCTTACACTAACAAGCTGATATGAGACAACTAATGTATGTATCATGCACATCTCTCCTACCAAGTCACAGTCCGCAGGGAAATACCGCGGAAGGCAGCCCAATACTCTACCCCCAAAATGACAGATACACGTAAGTAGTGTGTGCCGACTCAGAGCCTCTGCCTCCGTCGAATGGCGAACGGGACCTTGTTCTTTGGTTTTTGTGTTCCCAGTCCAAATCCGGAGGAGTCCATATCCAAGGAGGAGGCCTGAATATCAACATCGTATCGACTGACAAAAAAGGCGCAGGTGAACAAGATAAGCCGCTTGGCGAAAATGCGTCCAGGACATGCTGAGCTGCCACCTGGAAAGATTGGTATCATCGTCTAACAGGAAGAACAGAGTTCTCATGTTTAGTAGACTGTAGACTACTTACCGCCGTAGGGGATCCACGTCCCCTCCAGCCCCTTCACGGAGAAGCTGGGCTGACCAGCAGCTCCCTTGACGTCCAGACGAGGAACGGCATTTCCAGTATCGGGCTGGTCTCTGTGAACCCGCATCGGCCCCGAATGTGGATCCTTGGGGTCGACCATGAACCGATCCGCCCAGAAGCTGTCTACCGGGTGCTCCCCATCCTGGGTATTCCATAGCTGCCCGTTCATGTGATTAACGTAGGAACTGACCATCACGACCTCGTTCTGCCCCAGCCACCAGCTCCCTACGGAGACGGGCTCATGGGCGGAGCAGCGTGTCACGTACGCCTGGACGTAGAGCCGAAGCGTCTCAGCGTACACCGCGTTCAGGAGATCATTCTGCAGCAGCTTGTCCATAGAAAAAACAAATTCGAGCTCATGGGAGGCTGTGTCATGAGCTTGGAGACTCTCTCGGACGCGACTGAGGAGTGTAGCATCCTGGAAGATGTGGAGAACTGCCATCATGGCAGTGGGCACGACATTGGTGATGGAGGTCCAGATCAAGCCCAAGTCTGCGGATGCCAGCGAGGCATCATCTTGGTTGTCTGCGGCTAGGAGGAACTGCTGCCTCTCGCGCATCATGCGAGACCCCCAGCATGGGTCCCCATCCTTGTCCTCCCCAATCAACGACTCGTGGAAGTTGGCGCGAGCATGCCGGTACCAGCGTTGAATCTGGTCGAGCAACGAGTCCCGCACGCGGTAGGCTTTGGGGACAAGTAGTCTCGGCACTCGTTTGGCCAGGTAGGGAGTCGCTGCGTCGAACTCCCACAGGGCCTCCATGAACGTCGGGTTGATGCTGAGCAAGAGCGGCCCGAAGAGGGACTGGAGCACCGCCCGTCCCACGTGGTTTCGAAAGAACTGCAGCAGGTCGGGCATCTGGACCCATTCGTCCTCGATGCACAAGCTGTCAATCTGCGAGATAACAGTATCTCGACAGCGTTGAAACGTGTGCGCCAGTCCTGCTCCCGATAGGCCTCGCAGTAGCGAGTCGTGAGTCAGATAGTCGACACGATTATGCGGGGCCACATTGCTATTGGGGTGTGGTTTGCGATAGGGTCCGGCGTCGTCTGCCATGTACGTCTTGAGCGGTTTGTCTTTCATGCCAAACAAATACCGCAGGCCCACGGTGTAAATAAAGATCGGGCTGGAGAGCAGTGGATGTTTCCACAAGGCAGCGACTGCTTCGGGCTCCTGGAAGAGGTAGATACCTGCCAATGGTAGCGAGATTCGGACGCATGATAATTTTCCCGCATAGGTCCTATGACACGCGGCGATCAATGAACGAGTTCACAACAAGCAAGAGAGGAAGGAGCTGCAGGAACATACGTTGCCCGTCTCACGAATGATGCACCATCAAACAAAAAGGGGATTGTGTGGCCGAGGATCGGAATCACTGCTGGCAGGTGTGGGGGGATCCGGATACCTGTGTTAGGGTTGGATCGATTTACCCAGTGATAAAGCACCCAGGAGATAGAATAGCCAATGCAGAAGGGCAAGGACAGAAGAAAGAGAAAGACCAACACCTGAGGAATCATTGTATCTCCACGGAGGGACAGAAAACGGAGAATTGTTCAGTCAGCTTGACAGGGAGAGGAGGAGGCAGAGAGGGAGGAAAGGAACAGGAAGCTGACTATCGCTGGATGTGTGTACCTCGACTGCACTTGATATAGCTAGAATAACTAGGCACATCCAATCCAGCGCATCAAAGCCCCTATCGATTCTTTCTTCTCATGTCTTGCTCCCCCTACATTACGTTGCGACTCGACCCCACAGACATACATCCCTCTCGAGGCACATCCACTGTCAACCCTTCCCGCACCGAGATATGATCTGGTAGGGGGGCTAAAAGAATAGAATGCGGGGAGGCAGGCTTAGCGATGGGTAGCAGGCGGGCCCGTCTCACTGCAGGTGGTTTGTGGGGCGGACAGATTATTTTTTTTTTATAAAAAAATAAAAGAAAAAAAGAAATAGCAAACGTCCTTGCTCCTACTGTCTTTAGGTAAGCATTAGCTACTGTGTCATAGTTAACTGCAAGACAGCTTTGCAAAGAGGGGGGGTTCTAGTTTGTGCCAAGTTGAGAATCGCTCACATCACTACATCTGCACGAGTCAGCGCTAATGTTATCTCCTCAGCCGGCACAATAAAATGCTCATTTTGTTACGTGGCCCCGTCTTAGACGATGATAGCAACACCATTTCCCCCTCTCCTATTCCCCCTTGTCCACTCGGGTCCCTCCACTAGTTGGACGAAACTGTTGCCAGACGGCCTATTATGTATGCAAATGGGTCATACGACACAATGGTTTAATTTCTACCCATCTTACTAAGACTACACGCTTCTTGATGGAGAATCCTGTCCGATACCGATTCAAGCTTTAGCCGCAACACAGTAAGCACCTCCTCTACCTCTCTCACTGAGCCATCGGTTTCCGCAAACTGACCCGGCAGGGAAGCCCATCAGCGGGATGCGATCCCCCCCGGGGAATCTGGTAGGCGCGCTCGCCAAAGACAGTCTTGGGTCCGGGGCGGGGATGCTGGCGGTCCCATTCAGCGTACTGGTCTTGAAAATCGAACTCGCGGAGAGCTAGCACCAGCGTGATCTTGATGTCTAGTAGGGCCAGCGCTTGGCCGATGCAATCCCGCGGACCATGCTCAAAGGGACGCCATGCACCTTTGGGAGGGTACAAGGGATGGTCTGGTCCAACCAGCCAGCGGTCTGGTTTGAAGCCATGTGGGTCAGGCCAGTAATTGGGATTACGTTGAATGCCTCCATGCAGGATCCAAATACACAATCCGTTAGTCGGGTATTTGGTGCCATTCCTATCCTCCAGGTAGACACCAGGCTGGCCGTCTCGCAACGCGGAAGCAGCGGGAAACAGACGGAGGGTCTCCTTAATAACCGCCAGGGTATATGGGAGCCGGTTAATTAACTCTGGACGCTGTTTGAGTATGCGACCCGCAGCAGAAATATCCGATCCAAATATCTCGTCGTGCTCGGTGCGAACCCTAGCAAGTATTTCCGGATGCTTGGACAAGAGATAGATACTGTATACAATCGTGGCGGCGGTCGAGTCATGGCCAGCGAATAAGAAGGTCCGGATTTGAATGGTGGCCCATGCCTTAAACTCAGGATCCAGCTTGGCCCCCGCTGGCTGTGTACTCATGAAATTGGCGAGCACAATATCGATAATTGAATTAGCCCGAGTCGAGGGTTTGTGCTGCTTCCAGACCTGGTATCGTTTCTCCAATTCGATTCCAATGTAGCGCTTCATGATACGTCCGTTGTACCACTGCATGATCGGCCGCATGGGATTCCATCGGATGAAGGGATTCATCTCCTCGTCCTGACAATTCCACTCGATGGAGCTTCTCATTGCCGCTGCCAGCATATTATTTCCGCGCTGAGAATGAAGACGGGTATTCCTGCGGTTCGTCATGTCAGTGTTCCGCTTGGCATTCTGTACTTGGAAAAGGAATTTACATGGCGACATATCCGATAATATCCATGACATAGTCACAAGTCATCTTGTCTAGTGTGAAGGTATCGCCCTTGCGCGCATGCTCTCGAAGAATCTCCACGTACTCTTCGGCTTCCTCGACAATATGGGGGGTATGCTCCAGCATGTTAGTGGCGCTGAAGGCGGGATTAAAAAGGCCCCGGGTATGCTTCCATTCGGGCCCGTTTGTCACGAAGATGCTGGGCCCCCCTGTGAAGGGGTTAAAGAACTCCGCGAGGACTGGCGGCTTGGGTAGTGCATAGGTTTGAGAGGCCTGGACTGCAAGATCCGGGGCAGTCACAACCAGCAAGGGCTTGGTGAAGGGCCAGACATCAATGTAGAAACAATTGTCGGAATTGGGAAACTCGTAGGACAGGAGGGTGAAAGCCTCCGACTGCTGCGATCCTTTAGGATGCCGTTTCATTAGATCGGGCAGCATCCGCAGATTCCCTGCTGCGAAATCCCACGCCGGCATCGGCTGTGCATCGAACTATTATCAGCAAAGCAACCCATCATGACAAGCTTTCTTTCATTATAATTTAAAACGCACCAGGCCTTGCTTGCGCAGACGGTAGAAGAGCAAGCGCACTTTCAGCATCTCATGAAAGAATCGCAGGACAATAACTAGGCCCAACGCCAGGGCCACTCGTGTGCCGTATGTAGCGGCGAGATCGAGCACTGCAATCGCCATGGTGGTTGCACGCATAGAAGAGGAGTTGGATCTTGGCTGCAAGACAAATTAAGGTTGGGAAAAAGAGAGTAAAAACTATCACTAGTAGAAGTGGGTGGATTAAGGGGCACAGGATCGATTAACTAGGATCGAAGCATGACAAAAGAGAAATATAACGGAGCTAACTATAGGCTAAGCTGAGCCACTGGTTGAGCAGGGATTAAATTCCTTTGACGGTGTCAAGAGCAATCAGCGCATTTTAATTTAGTGCATCAGCTAGCGCTGGTTAAAAGATGACCACTGCTTCCCCTCATCGCCAGCGGTTCGGCCCCACTCCACTACGGAGGATGTAAGCTCCATTCCTAGGCCAGTCTCGTTAGATCATGCCCTCCTTGAGTGCGTGCAGTTCTTCAAAACCCCCCGCTATCCTTCTCCCCTCTCTTCAATCCTCCATAATGATACGAACCTCTGTTGGGAACTGGGAGGGAGAGACAAATAAGTAGTCATGGCAACGCCGGATCATTTTGGCCGCATTCATAAAAGTGCCTTCGTGGTATGAACATGCCCCCTTCTCCTAAAACCACGTCTCGCTATATCTTCAACATGCTCACCCGGTAACCCAGGTATCGACCGCTGTGCTCCTTGCCGTAGCCCTGGTTGGCGTGGTTATCCGATACGTTATCCGCTTTCGAACGCCGAAGCGGCGGTTCCAACTTGACGATGGGCTGCTCTTACTGGCAGTTATCTTGCTGCTGACCAGCCTCATTATCATGTACCACCACGTTGTGGACCCGATGTTCTTGTTGGGCGCCTTGCAGAACAGGGTCCAGGGAGTCGAGTTGCCCGCCAACGTACTTCAAATCTCCCATGATTTCCATAAATGGAACGTAGCAGCACTAATGATCAGCTGGTGCTCCATCTGCGCCGTCAAGTTTTACTTCCTCATCTTCTTCAAGAGGCTGATAGATCGCTTGCGCCTTTGGCAGCTTTACTGGTGGGTAGTCACCGTCTTCAACGTCGCCCTGTTGTTCTTTGGAGTGACGGTCTACTACATCAGCTGCCCCTTTTGGGATGCGCGAGAACGTATGCTACGCCTGCTATTCTTTTCTTTACATTCTCTCACAGATCAGACGGTGCTAATCGTGAACCTAGTCCAATGTTCTTCCGGGAGATACAAGTTGGCGCTGATCAGGGACTCGGCTGCGCAAATCTCCCTGGACATTGCAGCCGATCTTCTCAGTAAGTGACCGTCACTTCCAACAACGCGCTCCTCCTCTATCCCCTCCTCCCTTCCCTCCTTCCACAACCCTTGCTCGAAACTGACTCTGACACACCCCCAACAGTCCTAGTCATCCCGATCGGACTCATCTGGAAGATCCGAGTCCAGTGGACCCAGAAACTGGCATTGATGAGCTCCCTCTGCCTGACCTTCGTCCTGGTTGCCCTATCTATCACCCGGGTTGCCGGACTTGAGTACCATGATGTTGTGGACGCAGTATGGGAAACCTACTGGCAAACTCTGAGCGCCGAGCTGGGCGTCTTCTTAGCTGCCGCCTCGACGTTCCGATCCTTCTTCGTCAGCCAGAGGAATAACAGAGCCTATACTCCGCCTTCGTCATTCGATCGCTGGATCAAGAGTTCGACCCTGAGAAGCTCGGACCGAAAGCAGCCTGACACCCTGCTCACTTCCTGGCCCGATAACACAGCTTCCGCGGGCTTCGAGCATCTGTCACAACAAGCTAACGGAGATTCCAAACCCCATGTAGATTATCAGGAATGGCATGCCATGACGCGCGCGCACTCTTCCACTGGCCAGAGCTCTAATGCAATGCTTGACAATGAGGCTGTTAATGATTCAGTTCATTCCAAGCCCTTCGTAGCAGAACCCGCGAGCGTCCTGTTGAAGGTAGGTTGAATGGTATGATTTTATTTAATTACTGTTGTTGTTTTGTATGTCCCCAAAAATGCATAATGTTGTCATCTACCTTCTTTTATATGTGTTGAAGTTTGTGTTCTATCGCAGTCGCCAGTTACTGTATTACCAGTGTGAATAAGTTACTAGGTGTCTTTTTTATGTAGTTGACGAATGAAAACTACCTGTACAAATCTGACCTGCGCATCCTTCAGAACCAGCTTATTCGCAGTTTCTTTGGCAATATTTGATGACAGTGACGCCCAAAAAAAATGCAGGTTAGACAGTTTTCCATAGCTTTCCTGCGTCAGCGCGGTAATCGTGTAGCTTTTCTCTAGGCTGCCCATTGGAACGGGACTCGCGATCCTGGGCAAGTTTCAGTCCCGTCCCATAGCTAGATTCCCACCCCTTGCCAAGTCTTTTGGGAAGGGATGCTCATTAGAAGGGATTTGGGATGGGAGATCCATCCTACTTACCTTAGAAATCCGGTCCTGTTTCCCGTCCCATTTCCTATATTGGAATTTCCCTTGGTGTCACGGCTCAGTCTAGGTCAGGAGATCTTCATATAACAAATGAATCTATTCCCGCTAACTAGGTAGCTCTTCGACGAGAATATCAAACATGGAGAGGAGAGGAAGAAGAGATAGATCATAACAACATCAGTTGCGGGGAAACCAGCAGATCACATGACCCAATGTGGCGAGGCCGTCACACTTGGAAATTAATATAACAGTTAACACCTTTGACAGCTTTAATTTTAGCAGCTGTTGCACACCCATACTGCCATACAGTATGTTGCACATAGTGTGACGAACTCACCATGTAGCCTGTTTGCATTGTTTGTATCTAGCTTTGTTTATCTCCCCGCATAGTCCCCACCACCTTTCTTCCTCCTCCCCCCACGCCTGAAATTTTCGTTGAGATAGCACCAATTTCATCAAATTGCTTGGCCGTCACATTCAAGACATCCCTTAATATTTCCTGTCCAGAGATAATTCGGGCACGCCTTATGGCATTTAGCAAAGCCTGACCATCTAAGAATATCTGTGCCCCATTGTAGGTGTAGTTTCTCCACCGTGGCACCTCGGGGTGTCTCTTTGCCATATCTAGCCTTATCTGTATACCCCGGAGTTCTGCTGTATATATAGTAGTTATGGTTTCTTAGCCTACTTGGTCCGATATTTAGGTCTGCAGTTCTAAGGCTGCAGACCAAGCTTCCCTCGTAGCCGCTGCCATCGGGGACAGTGGCTTTTTACTCCGTTGTATTATTTTTTGTGGCTCTAACTCGCCTCCGAGCAGCTCTCGATAACCACCCCCGGGGCACGCGCTAGGGTTCTGTGATATATACCCGTCGGTTCCCCTTTACCTTTACAAAGGTTTCAGACGTCCACCACGCTTGGATATGTGTGCCATTATTAGCACCTACCCGCTGAGCTCCTGTTTCTTCTCTGTAGCAGTGGTGTAAAACGCACCGCAGATTATGACCGCCGCGCATTTTTGTACTAAGGCGAATTGTCTAATGACCGTACCCTTCTTCTTCGCTGTCATGATTCCTTGTTAAAGCCATTGAGGCCACCGCGTATAGCACTTGGGGAATAACCATAACCTGGTAGATTCGACACATGGCCGTACTCTAAAACATTGCTTCTATTCCCTTAGTCCATTGCATCAGCCTCGACAATTACATCCATCTAACATGTGAGAGCGCATCCAGTGTTCTCCCTCAGCAGATGGGCTATGCGGAAATGAATAGGATAATCCATATCACCGTGCAAATTTAACACTTGGTACGTATTTGTCTTTCTACCATGAAGTGAAATTTTGTCTCTGCAGTGGGAGCTACTCTCGCTGGCTCACTATGTGGTTCCGTTCGAGCACAGAAGGAGAGCGAATCATTCTGTTAGACTGAGTAATACCGTGTGTACTGGGCCCTGTGGCACCTAGTTTATTATTCTATACTTTGGGAAGCTGTCGAAGCACCGACTGTTGTTTTAAACAGCAACAAGAAAAGAACCTCTAATAGTTCTTAGAGCTGGCCCGCAGACTTGGTAGAAAGAATATATGAGTAGGCCATCCGGAAGAAATGGATAGGCTCAGGACTGAATATATCTGAGCGGTGGCCGTAGTTCCAAAGACCTTGGGACTACATCCATCCTACGGATACTCTAAAAAGCAGGACCCTTCAAAGGCCTACTGGGAGCTCCCGGCAGAGACAGCTTCTGCGGCGCGAACCATATTCAACTGGGATGCTAGAAATACGTCCTTATCGACGTCTCGGGGTTCTTCTGTGGGACACGTGGCGCCTGTTCTTGGTCGGGGCAAACCCACGCCGGGAGAGGTTGCCAACCCCTAATGGAGAATTCCTTGATCTGAATAGTGACCTCCCGACGCCTATAGAAGAGGAAGTGGTTGGCGATAGTTGGTAAGAAGAGGTGATGGACTTAACATGTGTAAATAAGGCTTCATACAGGTTCGTTTTGCATGGTGTCTGCCTTAAACCCTGCCATACCATCGAGCCGTTCATTTGATTTGTTTTTATTTATATTTGAATTCAGTGTTGAACCTTGTAGAACCTCGTGTAAAGTACTGGTTGCTGTACTAATTGAAAGGGCCCTACTAGTTCTTATCATGTCCTGCGCCGCCTTGGAAATTTTACTCTGTAATGCTCTATAGGAACTAGTAGGCACCGTCATGCAAAGTACAGTCTTTAGGTAAGACAGAGATCCGCATTTTTGCTGATCAGAGACACTTCGGCAATGGTGACATGATACGACCAAACACTGCATACCCGCACCACTTCTTCTATAGCAGAAGCGGTCTTCGCAATAGCATTGAATAAAGAATCCACGACATATTCTCTTTAGACAAAGGTCGGCAAAATTGCACAGCAGCTGATGATCACACTCAATGTCTCCTCATAATCAATCTCTCCATCAGCAAGATCATCCTGGTTCCAGATAGCCTGGACCATCTTTCTCACCAGAAGAAGGGATCGTGAGGAAGCTACCTTCTCCGTTCTAGAAATAAGATCGAGGACGGTACACCTCTCATCATCCGTTCGTGCTTCACAGCCTAATATAAACAAGGGAAACTGTCTCTCACAAGAACCGAGCTCAGAGAATATGGCGAAGGCCCTTCTAACCAGTTGTTCAGTTTCAGCTGTACGCTCGAGAAGGTTTCCAGATGCTCGGTTAAGATATACCAGCATAGCTAATTGAAACAATTCCACGATCATTGTCGAACCGGGGCCGTTCCTGGGTGTCGAGTCCGACGGGGAAATACTCCGTATCCTCCATCTGAGGATTTTTAAGTAATTTTTGTAATCATCGAGGTCCTTGGCGAACATGGTGCGTGGTGGTTTTGCGGATATTGTGTCGCAAACATCTGATAAGTGGCCTAGAATCGTGTTAAAGGATGACGGTGCTAAATAAGAGAACTAGCAGGATTTAATTAGTATCCATGTACCTGCTAAGAATATGGATGGCTCTTGTGTACAAACCTCTGCGCAAGCATCGGGTGGGGAAGATGGAGCCTCCGACTTGTGCTGGTGCCAATGTAAAAGACTAAAGCGTGATAGTACATCATGATAGTATACCCAGTTCAACAAAGTATTGAAATCGCCATCTTGTTTAAAATTGCCTAAGAAGGAGGCTTCAATAACGGCCTTAACACCTGTAACATACCATCTCCATTGACCTGATGTGCAGGAAGCTTGATGGATCTATGTAGAGGAGTGCGTTAGCATAATGCATGGGCCATAGGAATTGAAAATACAAATATTAACCTCAAATGAACACAAGAGCATCCCCGCTGCAACATGTTGAGCAGCCTCTGTTACACTAATGTTGTTCTTTGAGGCGGCTGCAAGGGCCCTAAGAGCGGATATCTTGAGCTCCGCTGCCTGTGGCTGAAGCCCGTCGCGATGCAGAGATGACAAAGCGAGCATAGATCTTAGCACTGCAGCGGCAGAAGGAGAGCTGTTTGCGAGTGTCATGCGCATGAGGACATTTCCTACATCTGTAGGGTCGTGACCAAAAGTTGTTAGAGACCGGGAGGCGATACATTGGACTAAAGTTAATCAGTTTCGCATGCTTTCTCAGGCTAGGCTGTTTTAGAACACATACAGTATTGTACCAAGTAATTATCTGCAACCTCTAACTTAAATGGATTAAAGGGCATAGGAGGACATAGGACAAGTTGTGCTAATTTTGTACCGAATAAGTCTGTCTTCCCTTTTTACTGCCCGAGTATAATAAACAAAGCTTACCGTTCGACCCCGAACCTGACAGGTAATGGTGCAATTTGATATCCCAGGTAGATATATTTACCAATCGAATGTCGGAAGATGCGCGGTCCGTTCTCTTACTATGCGGCGAAGGTCTTCCCACCACAGCGCGCCTAGTGTTGTTGGCATTTGGCCAGGAGAGACGGAGGCCATAACCTTTGCAGGTTCGATTTGACTGGGAGCATTGCGTGCAGATTGGAATGGCACGATCACAGAGAATTCGGCGATCTAGGGTCAGCCGTCAGCCAGATTTAAACTACAACTTAAAGCATTAACAATCTCCAAGGCGTTGACTACCGCGGCAGGTCCCGCAGCTCCTATTCGCCATCTTGCTTGCTCTCGTAGCTTCGTGTTAATCCTTTGTAGCCGTCGGTGTTGGATGGTTAGGGGCAAAAAGCAAGCATCCAGGCCTGTACACTCCAAATAGTGGACACTATTGAAGTGAGATTCATCAGTGCCTTAAGGATGGCGATCAAGAGGTTTTTCGGACAAAGAAAGTGAGGGGGTGACTGACGTAAGCGCTTGTCTAGCTTAGTTTTAGTTAGATACAATTCGGTGCTCCCACTTGACTGGTCTGTTTGGGAAAATTGACTTGAACCTGGCCTCCTTCCACCTTCCACAAGTACACTCCCAACCCGATATCTTGGCCGTCGCCGAGTGCCAAAATGATGGTAGTTTTGCCGGAGATAAAGCAATATCGATATGTCTGTAGAACACGATTCCGTTGCGCGCATATATCGGAAGCATCCGCTCCAATCTAAAAGGAGATTGTGTGTTCTGGCGAGTGGTTGGGGCACTAGGTGCGGAATACTTACAGCATCCCTCTTTGGCCAACATTATGTAAGATGGCGGTATGCCGCTATGGAACTTGTTTTGACATAGTAGGTAATTAGGGGACTCCGTAATGGTAAAGAACGCTCTTACAGACCTGGATTGGCCATATTTTAAAATGCCATCTTCATGCGTAACAGGTGCACCTATTTCCTTTCCAAAAGCTCCCTTTTGGACGCCAAAGTCTGGCTCGACCCACCCCCCCGGTCTTATAGTTGCTGTGATTTCATCTTCGATTCCTGTTGAATGGTCATCTTCCGCTTCGCAACAGCGTTCGGGTCCATCGACGGGCATGTACTATGTTAACATGATTGTTGTCCGTTTCTGTTGAAGCTATTCTGAGACTAGGATGAAGCTCTTAATAAACAAGGGTGTCTAGCGATACAGAGGGCAGCTCCCTCCCAGCCATTCCACTCTTTACGGGAACGTAAAGAGAAGAGGAATCTGAGAAAATCGCTATTTGTGCCTTTGGACCAATTCCTGGCATGCTTTAGTATTCAATGCCATCTATACGCTGCAGGGCAGATATCGGATATATTGTCTGGAGGACTTCACGGAGATGAAAACGTGTGTGAGCAAGGGTTGATGAGGCCCAAAACACTTGTAACTATTCTATTTGAATTTGAATAGAAAGAGGGGGATAATGCATGAAAAGGTTACCTTAAGCCATCAGTAGCAGAGTCAAGAATTCCAATCTCAGAGTCCTGACGAAAACTGTCCATCGTCGCTACTGTAGGTCGCTTGCTAAGCTGACCCTTCATGTTTCTGCATGTTTCTGACTATGAACTTCATGAAGGTTCCGTAAGATCAGATATGTAGTGGATATGAGGTCTTGTGGTGGAGGCTAAGAAATCCGGGGATGATTAGTGTACTGTGCCCTGTTCGTCGGGATGTGGTTGCTCTGACCGATCGAAGACCGTAAGGTACCTACTTTGCTTTGGCCCAGTTCATAGCTGCCCAGTTTGTCTCTGAAGTATCATGTTCCTAGGTGGAGGGTACTCTGGCTGGGAGAAGGTCCAAGACTGTGTCCTTCCATACTATCCTGCCTCAGGGAAGGGGAGGAGAGAAAACCAAGGCTTCGACACTTGGCGGGGCGGGGCGTGAGGGGGCATTAGGGGCATTATCAACTGGCTGTCATGCTAGATCGACTGCGCAGCCCTGGACAGTATATTGATTTTCTGAACCTCTGCTAGGGTTGTGATACAATGGTCTGCGGGGACCCGCCAGTGGTGAGACGGTTGGATGAGGGATATTCAGGTGTGCGAACAGCGACCAGAATCGCATCTGAAGGGCACTGCGTCATCCACAATAATCTTACAATCTTAATTACACTCTTAATGTATACCTAATTCTATGGAATTTTTTACTAAGATCTAATATACCTGTCGCTTTTAGTTCCGACACAATTTTGACTGATTCCTATCATGTGTCGCTCCCAGGGAATGACACCAATTGTACACTCTGCATTGCTAAAAGAATTGCTAGGCAGGGTGTTACTGTAGGTATACGGTCATAATAATTCCGGAAAGCTAGGAAATATTAGGTATTACTAAGAGAATGACTTGCCGCCTCATTGCGAACAGTACGGGTCCTTAGCTCTCTACCAATAACCTTATGGGGTACATGGGGGCTCCCTCCACATCATTCCTGCAGACCTACGTGTAGATCGCTGAACAGGTCAACTATCCGCGAGACTAGAAAATTTAGCCTCAACACTATATCGCCTTTTACCGGACATACGCATTTCAAAGCTCATCTGAATTCCAAATCAAGGCGAGCGTCCTAGGAAATAAAGACTAGAAGTTTCCGTAGCATAACTCCCAAGAATCTACGAAGAGTATAAATACACCATCGTCAATCCTGATCACTTTTTGTTAATAGCCGTACTCAATAATACCCCTTATATTCGTCAACTGGTAGCTCTACTTGTTACCCACCTTCCACTGTCAATATTACTGTAAATGGCCTCTTACATTGTTACGGGAACTTCCAGGGGCATTGGGGTGAGAGCTAAATTCCGTGTACTAAATTGCCAAAAAGACTGCATACTAAACAGTGCCCTTGATTATGCTTAGTGGGAGTTCCTCCGTCAGCTATCCAGCGACGCCAATAACACTGTCATCGGCCTAGTCCGAGATAAGTCTGCGACCGAGAAAAAGGTGTTGGAAGAACTACAGGGGCGGTCCAACGTGCATATCTTACAGGCTGACATCACCGACTATGGCTCTCTGCAGGTGAGGTCAACAAAACTGGGTGAATTACAATCCTCCGTTGACGTATCTCGCCCCATCAGAGCGCTGTTGCAGACACGGCTAAGATTACCGGCGGGAGGCTTGACTACCTAATCGCCAACGCCGGTATTGTGCCTCAATTCGATGCCTATGATCCGATTGGGGTTCTGTAAGTTTTCATTCATACCTGGGCTTTGGGGTAGCCGAAGACTGATATGGGAACTGAATCAGGGGTCAACAACCCGAAGCCCTTGAAGAGAGTCTTCTGAAATGCTTTAAAATCAACGTCATCGGCAACATCCACCTGTTCAATCTATTCATGCCGCTCATCCAGAAAGGCCAAGTAAAAAAGGTGATTTCTATTTCCACTGGTCAGGCTGATCTGGAAATTATCCCCAAGTTGAAGATACAGCCAGCTTCAGCATATTCCATTAGCAAGGCCGGTCTGAATACTGCGGTGGCAAAGTTCAGTGCACAGTATTCTAAGGATGGAGTGCTCTTTATGAGTATTTGTCCCGGGATGGTTGATACGGGGCACTTTGTCGATGGTATGTCAAAATTACGTAGTGTCATCAAAGTGATTTTTCGACTGGATTAGCTAAGTGTACGTTTTTGCAGCAACCCCTGACCAGATGAAAGGTCTGATGGAGATGCTGGGGTCGTTTGCAGAATATGCCCCCAACTTCAAAATGCCCAGCACCGTGGAGGCTGCTGTCAAGGACGTGATATCTGTGATGAATAAGGCGAGTGTCGAGAATGGGGATGGTGGCTCTTTTGTTTCGCACTACGGTAACAAACAATGGCTTTAAAAGGGCTTCATATGCTCTGTATGGGCTATTCTAGCATGGACAATATTTGGATAGAATTGGCAGGTTTCAATCAAATTCTAAGGTGGAAGAAGAGGAAATTTATTAAAAGTGTTGATTGAAACAGTTGTAGTTGTATTCTCACAAACACGTTGGATTAACATGAAAGAGTATTCTCGAATGAATATCTCCATATATAGCCAATAAGCATGTACTTAAGTATATTAAATCTTATTCTCTTTGCTATGACCATTATACGTCCGTTATACGTCGCATGTATACATTTAGTACCTATGGGCCGGCATCCTAAGAGACATTCAACGCTGACTAGAACTCAACAAAACCCTCTCACAGTAGAGCTGCATATATATATACTCCCGATGCATCTAACTACCTCATGGTTTATCTTTTTTTTTTTTTGGTTTTTTTACAAGTCCTAGCGAAAGCAAGTCTTTAATAAGCATTCGCAAGGATTGGCCACAGGATGGAGTTAGGGTAGAATACATTAACTGTTTACATACTACATTTCTGGCCATCATTTGCTTCCAATAAGTAAATGTGCCTATTAGACAAAAGTATAATGGTTGTGAGATACCAACCTTGATCTCTAGACCTCTATATAGTTTACAACTCATAAACCCAAGTTTGGATGAAATAAGGGTAGCAGATCTTCCCTGTGAATAGGACCTTCAGCAACTACAATCCTAATACGTCCGTCCTACTGTGCGCCGCCATGGCAAATTTTCAACCACAAGTATACTTACATGCCCAAGAAAGTTGGCATTCCTAGGTGATCAGCGGTTGTGAACGGTTGTCATTTGTAACAGGTTGTGACCAACAGTACCGACTAACCTAAAATAATTAGAAACTCTCCGGCTTAAGCTAATACTAGTTAGGTAGTCTATAACTATTATAGTAAGATTCTAATACAGCATCAAAACTCTTTAAAAAGAGATTTAATCTAATATTTTAACCATCCTAAAACTACTAGTATTCAAAGAAACCGTTACTAGTAGAAGTATAGAACCTTATTTGTACTATTAATAAGTATCTAATATTGTAGTATTACAGTAAACCTTTTTTTATATAATAACAAAGAAAGGGTACCTACCATTTACTAGAAATAAAAATAAAAGAAAAATTTCCTTTATTTACTGTACCTAGCAAGTATATTAAATATTACCTGCTAAATATCCTTTATCTGCCTTAAGTCCTTTATCTCTTTTTTATATTACTATCTCTCTCCTGACCTTTTATTACCTTCCTCTTTTAAACCGCGGATTTATTCTGCTAGACTAAGCAAATCTTTCAAGCCATGACGCGCGATATAAATATATTAGATAAGCTAGTTATTAAACTTGACTTTAGTATACTAGGAGCCAAGAATATAGAGAGTAATAGTAAGTAAAACCCTTTTTTAGAAGTGCCTATGCTAACAGCACATAGTGGAGAAGTCTGATACAGGAACTAAGACAAAGAAGAGTAAGGTGTTAAAAAATAAAGGCAAACTATAAGAGATTCTTAGGCTGCAAAGTGAAGAAGACTGGGTTAAATAGCTGTGTTTAAGGTTTGTAAAACCATGGTGGCTTGAATTTTGGGACAGCTACTTAAGCAAAAAAGTATCCTTAGAGCGAGCCTGTGGAATTGGGAATATTTAATCAAGGATTATTACTAGAAAGGTAAATAGCAATACAAAATACAGCTTATTTTAACCAGATAAAAGTAAGTGGGATGTAACAGATTATACTACTTGGTTTTATTTTAATATAAAAAAAGAAAACCTTTAGTCTAATAAAAATGTCTTTTTTAGCTGAAAAATAAAGAATAGCTTAATAGATACTATTATCTAGGTACTAAAAGGCTATTTGGTAAAGATTTATACACCCTCTTTTATTAATACTAGAACTGGTGGACGTGCGATTTTTAAGATAAATAAAAAAGGTAAGTTTTTACCACTTGGTATACCTAGAAAAGGCTTCTCTAATAAGCTCCTTGCTAATAGAATAGGGTGTTTTAATACCTTAAGTAAAAAAAAACACCCGCAATCAGCAAATAGACAACCGAGTAAGGCCTAGAAAACAGCAGGTATAAAGAATAAAGGGAGTGCAGGCACACAAAAAGACAAAGAAAATTAAAATAATAGCAACAAGAATAATATTAATAAAAATATAGTAATACCTAATAAGGATAATAGTAAAAAAAACCTGCCAAGTTTAAAAAATAATAATTAAAAAAAAGACTTTTTTCTCCTACGCAGAAAGATTATACTTATCCAGGAATTTAATAAATACAATCCATAGTAATTTTATACAAATTAATATACATATACATATATATATATATATATAGATTATCACATATTAAGACATGTTATTATATGGAATTAAATTTATTATTTATTTATCTAATTCGCCAACTTTATACGCTCCTCTTTTATTAATAAGATTCCTATAAATTATAATAGAATGCTTAATAAATAACTTGCTTAAAATTTAAGTAGTAATTTATTTTTTGTTTACTTTTTTATTAGGCATGTATATTACTACTGTGTTATTATATATTATAAAAGGCAAGGAATATATACCTTAGTTAATATCTTGGTGCCTTAGCCTAATATTAGTGTATTTTTTTTCTAAATCTAGTTTTTCTATATCCTTACACACTGCACCTTCTATCTTATTAAGAAAAAAAGTATGGCACCACGAAAGCGCAGGCTTAATAATAATATATATTAAAAACCTTATATAATACTAATATCTATATTATTATTAACAAACTAATTATACTCTTAAAGACTTATTCCTGGTATATATTTGCTAGAATATTTCTGTTTGCTATTATATTGCCTGCTTAAAGCTAATAAATTACCTTACTATCTAGTTCTAATACCAATCCAGACATATACCCCTGTACCTTAGCTAAAACAATTAACACCTATACTTCCCGTGTCACCTGTTAAAGGTATATATAGATTAAAAAAGGCTTTTTTATAGTACTTATAAATAGTGTAATAAAACAACAGACTAAATTTTAGTTTACTCTTGTATTATAGGTTAAAAGCACAGGTATATCTAGAAATAACTATGTACAACTATATAAAATCCTTTGCCTATTTAATAGTAAAGAAATACACACCCTTTTATATAAACTAGACACACTTAAAACACACCTTTATAACTAAATTCCGTTACTTCCTATTCACAAGCAGCATGTTACAGTTACAAAGCATGTATAAAATATTAAATAATATAATTCTGTATCGCCAGATTCAACGTCCCCGCAGTTTGGTTTAATCTCGACCAGATTTTTCTAGGTATATTAACATTTTAACTGGGCTCTAAAAAGATGCACTTTGGTATGGCTGAGTACTCTAATAAGCCCCAGGAGCTCTGGCATTCAAGGGCATGGGGCTTATTAGTATATACTGTTTCCGGAGAGTTTATATTATTTTTTTATAATCAAGTACTATTCCCAAGTAACTTTGTTTATTTTCTACCTGTTTTTATTGCACAACTTAATACCAATGTGCAGTATGGGCGTATAGTATTTATTAGATTAAATAAATAAGTTAGTTTAAAGCTGTATATAAAAATTATCTTAACAATCCAGCCTGTGGTAATATTATTTACCCTAAATAGTTTTTTTTTATAGTAAAACTTTATTTATAACTAACAAGTATATATGCTACTGGAGAATTATTTATTTAAGCTAAAGAATAAAATTATACATAGTTAAGTTAATATAGCCTTAGAGTATAGTATATCTTTATCTGACCACACTTTTCCAGTTTCTTTTATATTTAACCTTGCGAGGAAGCAATCACACTTAACTTTTAAATTACCTTTATTACAGGCTAAATTAGAAGTTCTACATTATGGTCGCAGCTATTTAAAGTTATTTTTAATACAGAACTAACAGATACAGTTAATCCCTATTCTTATATTTATTAATAATTTTGGAATTTTTCGCAACATATACCGTGCATTAAAGGGATTTTATATAATACTGGCTGGTCTACCATATACTAAGTGTTGAAAGGTTGCTAATATATTTACCCTTACCCTAGGGCCTTATAAAGCAGACATGGGTACTACTATCAGTGGCGGTTCCGACCACCCACCGGCGGAAGGCGGTGGGTGGTCGGCAGCGTAAAGGAATTTTCACCGTAAAGGAAGATAATCAATTTCCTACATTTTTGAAGCTATACAGACCAAAAAAGATGCCTAAATCGTCCGAAATTTTAGATATACGCGTAAATGAAGCCGTTGAAGCTGTCCGTCTCGAAAAAAAACCCAATATTGCAAAGATTGCGCGAGAATTCGGGGTTCCTTATCGCACACTCCACGGCCGCATCCATGATCGAAGAAAGCCTCGTACAGCTCGAAATGCACCAAATAAAGCGCTGAATCAGTATCAAGAGGCTGCTTTAAGGCAGTGGATTGCTAAAATGCGTGATATCCACCTCCCCGTAACTATCTCATTGCTTTTAGAATGGGCGAACCTTACCGTACAGCGCGTTGATCCTACGCAGAGCGTCAGCCGATCGTGGGCGTATCGCTTCGCTAAAAGGCTTCCTCCTGACCTTAAATTGGGTCCTGTGATTCAAAGGACGAAGGAGAAGAAGCGCTTGGATGCAGAGGATGTCGGACAGCTTCAGTTCTGGTATAATCAGCTTGCCAACTTGCTTAAAGATGTCCCCGCTCGCCTCGTGTATAATTTTGATGAATGCGGCTTTCAACCAGGCAGTGGAAAGCCTCAAAAAGTGCTTGGTACAAAGGGGAGAGTTTCTGATACTTCCTGAAGCCGAGCATGCAGAGAATATTACTGCGCTTGAGTGTATTGCTGCAGATGGCTGGATTATAACTCCGCTTTTTATCTTTAAAGGAAAGAAATTTATGAGGCCTGGTATATAAGCAATTCCCAATTACTATACTGCAGTCACCAATAAAGGCTATATAAACGATGAAATCACACTTAAATGGCTTCAAAAATTTCACGAGGAGACCAAAGATCGTACAAAAAAAGGAGAAAAACGCGTACTTATCTTCGACGGCCATACAGCTCATAAAACGGTTGAATTTCTTCAACTCTGCGAGACCTATAAGATCCTCCCCTTTTGCTTCCGGCCTCATACAACTCATCTCTGCCAACCACTTGATGGAAAGCCCTTTCTCACATATAAAACGCATCTTCGCAGTGCGAATAACCTTATCGCGCAGTGGTGTGGAGTTCCGGGAGATAAAGCAGATTTTCACGTGATATTGTTGCCGTACGTGAGAAGACCTTTAATCCACGCCTTATTCGCAACTCCTTTAAAGAACGCGATATCTTCCCTACAGATGGATCTTTAATTATTGAAGCTATTCAAAATGCTTTACCACCGCTACCAGAAATCTCTGCACCCGATCTTCGCGCGTATAGCGAGAATACGCCTCCTCCGAACCCATTATCTTCAAGCGTTGAAAATACGCCTCCAAAAAGCGCTCAGCAAGTCGAAAAGAATCAGAAGAAGCTATTTAAACTCTTAAATAGCGATATACCGATTAATCCTCGCGTTGAGCGCTATCTCGGGCGCTTATTTCATCAGCAAAAACTTCAATCCGAACAGCTTGCCGTTATGAATTCAACTCTTGAGCGAATTGAGGCCGCGCAAGCACCTCGAAAGCGCAAAAAGACTAAGCGAGAGGTTCAACGCCTCGGGGATAGTGGCATACTACGCGTAAAGGATGCGAATCGGTCTATCGCGGACAGGAAGGCCAAAGATGATGAAAAGAATAGGAAAGCGGCGAATAAGGCGTATTTGAAGGCGTACGGTCACCCCCCACCAGCGCCCTATATAGAAAATAAAACTACAGATTCAAATACAGTATTGGCAGAGGAATCGGGCGATCAACTTTATTTTATTGATTCTACAGGCGTTTAGTGATAATAATGCGAATTGCTTCATTTTCTTCCTTTACGGTGAAAATTCCTTTACGCTGCCGACCACCCACCGGCGGAAGGCGGTGGGTGGTCGGAACCGCCACTGATATTACTCCTTTTTAGTTAGTATTTAAAAAGCTGCAACTTGGCAAGACAGTGCTTGTAAATGGCTAATTAGTATTTATTAATATTATAATACTGGCCTTTACAGCAGACATGCCCTAATAAGCTGCTAATAATAGATTACTAGCACACCAAGCTAATATTAGATGCCGAACTTGTTATTGTCCTAAACTGCGACGCGGTGATTTAGATTATAATACTATTTAAAATAGTTAATATTATTTTAATACTCTTTTAAAACGTGCTGAGGGGAACTTATTACTAGGAAAAGTAGAGCAAGATAAATTTTTTAGGAGTACTAGTTTTTAACAATCCCTATTATTATTACAAGTCCTGGCACCAGCTTTAGACCTGACAATTGCATGCGCATATAATATTCCACATTTAGAGTGGAAAGGGCTTGGTTAAATTTTACAGAAGCTTTTATGTGACTGTATACTATTAGCTTACGGTTAATTAGCTTATTACTCTGCTTTCCAGGCCTTTGTCCCACTAAGTTAATAGGCAAGAATCCAAAGCCTATAATATTAACATTCATGGTCCCTTTTTAAAAATAAACAGGCTATTATCCTTACACCCCTTATACTCCGATGCAATGCTAGTAAATCACAGTTTTACAAGTTATATATAAAAAAAGCACAGTTAATATTATATAATCTTTAGCCAACCTACTATTAACTATTAACATGGGAATTGATTATTTATGTATATACATTATTTGTAATATTAATAAGTATTTTATTTTTTATTATATTAACTTCCGTACAATATATTTAATTAATAATAATACAGGGCCGACATGCATTTTAAAGTCTGGTTTTTACAGGGTTACAGATAACCACTAATATGCTTGCGATAAATAATCTGTAATATACCCTTCTTACTTAACTTATTTTACTAATGGATTCTTAATAGATATTAATACTATTTTATCTAGGACTAATAATAAATAGGTGAAACATGCATGCCTTTTAAATATCTATATTAAACTGCATTTTACTGATTACATGTAAAGGGCTAGAGCCCGTTTGACCTCTCGGGCCAATGTCCCTACTGTCCCCGTTGTCCCTATTGTCCCTACTGTCCCCGTTGTCCCTACTGTCCCTACTGACCCTACTGACCCTTTTGGCCCATTGGCCCTCGATCGATGTCACGTGACTTCCCACCTTGTTTGTTACCGCTTGTCTCCTCTTCCTTTCTTCCTTTCTTCCCTTCTTCAACGATTCCTTCTTGTACATAACCTATCTTGTAGGTTCTATGGGTTCAGCCCTTGACATTACACGGCTAAATATGGAAGTCCCATGAATTATAATATTTTAGGTGGGGAACAAAAACATAAGTATGGTCGCTATTATTTTATAATACTATTATATAATAATACTAATAATATTTATATACAGGGTCTTTAAGAACTGGGCGGATTGTGCGGCTCCAAGTAACCTTATAGCCTATTTATTTAAGAAGGATCGTTTGCGATAATCCTTGCGATTAGGGATTTCTGGGTCGTGGAGTTATTAGCAGCCAGTTCTATACCAGCGACTTATAAAAATATTAATAACCTGTCCTTATTTAATTAACTTATTTATCTTGCTTAATAAGGAACTGCAATGTGGTGACACTAGCGATAAAAAATCCCTCTAAAATTAGGCAGTGAAAAATTTTGGCCAAGAAAACCTTATAGCCTCTGTTATAAACAACCTTAATATTTATGTTCCATTATCACTGTCCTTCGGAGATAATAATATCTTAGTTAATTAACTGCAAGATATATATATTAAAAAGTACAGTGTATATACTACTGCTGCTAATTTTAACAGCTTACAGCTATCCCCATGTGTAAGATTTTACAATAAGTATGCTTAATACTGCCTATATTATAAAAAGCAACTACTTATACTATATAGAGCTATGGACTGTTATGTTTATATTATTTGTTATTTAACAAGGAGTATTTCTTTGTCTTAGCTCGGTATCTTAAACAAGTGTCAGTTAATAGTATAGCAGAGGATAGTATTTTTTAGCTTCCTTTTTACTAATATACAGATAGATGGAGCCTTTTTACTATTCTGGATTTTATAGCAGACCCGGAGTTTTTTATTAATGTAATATCCCCTCACGGTGTGCCTTAGTTAACATCTTAGTTTTTTATACACTGTTCCTGGCGGATTAACTATGTATAATTTATTACTTCTTTATATACTATATCTACTATGGAAAAGGCTCTTTCAACCCCTATATAGATATATGCTATGGGTGAATTAGATAATTTAATACAGTGTTAAGATAATTTAATATTAGTAGTATAATAAATATAAAACTGGATTAATCTAATTATAGATAGTATCTACTATTTCTTATTTAATTGTATAATAGCAAGATACTAGTATTATAATAAATATAACAAGTATCTAACTATGCATAACTTATGAACCGTTGTATTTAGTTGTAAATATCAAAGAGTTGTGGGTTTTATTACTTGTTAATCCTGGTTTCCCTTGGTTGTAGCTGGTTGTCAGTAGTTGTGAGAAGTTGTGGGGGTTTAAACTGGTATGCAGTGGTTGGGAATGTATTCTTAGCTTATAATTGGACATGTCGTACCTTTTTGGCAACCATTCCACAACCCTTTTAAATGGGATTATATAATTACATACCTTTCCCACAGTCGCCAACCCTTCGACACTGTCGCACCAAAAAAGGGTGGGCATGTAAGTACTAGTGGATTTCAATTTCAAGGGGCATTTCAAATTTCAATTACCAACCCTATGAAACAAGCTAGATACAAACAATGCAAACAGACCACTTGGTGTGTTCGTCACAATGCGCCGCTTATCTTCCGATTGACAAGCGAAGTGACATCTTGATCTGGGGCAGGACGTGATAAACTCCCGCCCCCATTCTTGGCCCCGAAGGGACAGGGAATAGGTTCCTCTGAAGTTATTATAGGGGCTAGAACTGTTGGGCGACTGGAACTGCCCCTTATAACAAGGCTTATCCATAATAAGAACCCCATCAACTTCCACTTTTTAATTTGACCCTCAACACTAACCGTCCTTGTTGGCGACCCAAGATGAACGGTCTATCAAACCTTAAGTAAGACACCTACTGTATGTCAAATCGAGACTCTCTAACTAAAAGCCCAAGCCAACTTACCAAGTTACCTAGTGACTGTTGGATTTGTGTCTTAGACTGCCTTTCAGTGGTAGAGCTGCGTCAGATCGCGTTGGTCTCTCGTGGTCTCAGTATAACGGTAGAGCCTATGCTGTATCGAACAATCTCCTGGAACTGGGATCCAGTGCCAATCCGACCACTGCTCCAACTACTTCAGTCAATCCTGCGGCATCCCCGACGTGCATTTCACGTCCAGCATGTAAGATTGATGTCGAATACCCTTCTTGATTCGGCGACGCCATGGACTGCCCCATCCCTTAATCTTAACTGTATAGAGGAAATTGCAAACTTTCCTTTTGTGTTACAGCGGACCCAAGCAATTATCCAAGAGGCCAGCTTTCCAGACCAACACAGATGGAGTCAAGCCCTCCAAGAAGGAAATCCATATGCCCTGGTGGCAATCCTACTATCCCAACTACATAAGCTTCGGTCGCTACATCTGGACTACTCCTTTGTCTGGTTGTATGGATTTCCAGGGTTAATGCTCCGCCATGCTCTGTTTTCTGCGCCACAGGACTCGCTGTCCAAATTTCAATCCTTAACAACGGTAGACTATGGCGGTAATGTCCGCCGAGCTCCCCGAGAAAGCTTGTCCACCGTGGGCATCCCGAAAGATTATCCCGCTTGTAATCCATATCAGTTCGGTGCCTGGTTTCACCTGCCGTCACTTCGATCTTTGGCCATTTGGCTAAAGACACAGCAGGAATTTTTAATTCCAGGAGTACTATCAAATATTACTCAGCTCAACACCCTTATTATCGCTCGATCAACCATCCAAGAAGACCAGGTTCCAAGCCTGCTATCAGAGACTGGAAGCCTCAGGACCCTGCACTTGGGTATGGCTTATAAATGTGGACACCACATAGCTTTAACAAATGGACCTGCCATTTTACAGGGCCTGATATCCGTCAAACACACTTTAACAAAGCTATCAATAGGCTTGGAATATTACCCGCCTCCCTTTGGCGACCGCTTTCGTGAAATTGGTGAGGAGGAGCTGCGAAAGCCGTTTCACAGATTTCTTAAACACTTTCCGCGTCTCACTTCGGTTGAAGTCCCAGTGGAGTTGCTTATCGGTTGGGACCCAGAGCCGTCAGTTGATCTAACTATGGTATTACCCAGCACACTCGAGCAGCTGTGCATCCGTGAGGAGCTCGTGTACCTTACTCCGCGTGACTGGCGTGATTATTGGACAGAAAAGTCACTGGAGGATTGTCTTTTGGAAAATGCATCTCGCCTACAGTCACACATGCCTGATCTAAGGCAAATCAGGTTAAGAAGCTGGGCGCCAACTGAACGCGGTAACGTGCGCAGGGTTAAGCAGCGATTGATAGTCTACACAAAGTTTAAACAACTGGGGATCCAGTTTGACTTAGTGTTCGATCACATGTCGACGGGGTTGTGGATTTAAGATATATGACTGCCAGAGCAGGCCAATATATAGCAGAATATTACGCACTCCAAAATTTACCTTTCTTGTTATCTAGCAGAATAAAATACCCTTGCCACTATTCAGGAACATAAATAATTTCCTAAATAAAACACCAGTGACTAGTTAACATGATTTTTGGGCGGAAGGACTCTGCATTAGATATAAAAGAGCAATTTTTGAATATTAATATCTCCGGCAATATTAAAGATAAATGGATGCTACATTATGACCTACAAAACAGAGATCGAAGTAAAGCCAAATCAACAATATTCTGTACCTGCAACGAGAATATTAAGCATGGAGGAGAGGAAGAGGATTAAGGTAAACAATGGAACAGATATCCCCGTATACTACCACGCTCCACCGCTCCTCCACGACCAAACATATTAAATGGAACAAACAACGAACAACATAAACTAACATTGCAAACCGACACTGCAAACTGACCCCGCGCCGGTCGTCACAGCTACTAACTATATGACAGAGTGATCCTTCCACCCAGGAATCATGTTACCTATTCACAGTACTCAGAGTAAACGTCGTCAGGGCTTTTCCCTCTGGTAGATTCACTATAAAAAAGTGGCTGCCACTCCATTGCTTGAATACTGTTCGGGTTATAGGCCTCGGGCCTTGTATTGCCAGCGAGAACACTAATCCCTTGCCGCAGCTCTCCCATGACTTCCTGACAACCATATTCGGTTAGGGAATCACCCCAGCACGGGTCCACAATCTTTTCGTCCATAATTTTACCATTAATGTCTGGAGTTACACTCCACGCCACCATTTTACCCCCCTTAGGGAGAGCCGGACGCTCCCTCTCATGGTACATAAGGAAGATATTCATCTCCCCGCAACTAGCATCATTTTTGTGCTGTGCGCTCACGAGAGTGCGTTGGCTACAGGCGCTGAGAGCACGTTCAAGATCTGGAGGGAGGCCTTCCCGTGTCCCTCCACGGCCGCCATGAGTGGACGGGGTTTTGTAGATAAGGGGCGGACCCCTCGCGGACGACGCAAGATAGACCTCGTTGCCGACGGCATACGCGGCCATTACCCGCGGCCATTCGAGTGCGTGTACGTCTAACGCATCAAGGTCCTGACGCATGAGCTTATGGGCATCAATAGCTAATTAAAGTATCTGTTCATTGCGTGGTGGCCTGTCGAAGATGGCAATAGAACTGTAGAGTATGTGCTTTTTGGATGGGAGGCTTGCATCCAGCCAGACCTGTAGCTTTACACTGTTGACCAGTCCAAGAAGGACGCTAAAAAGGAGGAAAAGGGTTGTTTTCAACATGACATGTGATTAGAACTTTGAGATGAGGAGACGGAGGAGTGACCTAAGGAAATAATAATGGAAAGACAATCTGTTTCACGACATAGAAGCGGATGCCTCGAATTTAAATACCTACTATCGTGCTCGTCGTAGGATATTTCTAGCAATTAGTTGGTCTTAGAATGCCCTACCTCAAGGAGAGAGCACCGACATGGATAAGGCATTGTAGGGGGTGGCCCGGTGTCGAGATATTGGCAACACATAATTACAGGGATCCCAGTCGATACGTTTGGAGTCAACAGATAACCAGGGTGATTTTGGACCCTGTATTGCACCAAAAGCTCATCTAGGACTGTGTTTATAGGCCCAACCGAGAAAGCTCAGACTGTTAGTCTTGGGCTAAACTTATCCACATACAACAGACCTGTCTTGACATAATATAGCTAATACAAGCCGCTGTGACTGGCCCCCAAATCACCAACACCGGGCAAACACGAGCTCTTAGCTGCCGTGAATGCATATGAGATTTTTGGGTGGTGTTAATTAGGATCGAAAAAGGCCCCCAACCGACCACCATGGTTTAGAATCCCAGCACAAGGAATTCATGGGCGGGACAGTAAAATCTATTGGTCACATCGTATAAAGCAGATCAACAATACAAGTATAGCGGGCACTTAGAATTCCTTCTCCCTCGATTATACCATCCTCTTGTTTGCCCGCGACAGTGAATCCAAGGATCCTGGTGATTTCACGGAAATCAAGAAGTTTGCTGCAATCGGGGACTTATACAAGACAATATAATACAATTCAAATTCTATGAATCTGATGGAGCCCAACTGTGAAATATTAATAAAGCAAGAATCGGAGTCCTCGACGCTATAAACACGAAAACCCTATATAAGAAAGATAGGCAGCGGGTGCCTGCTGTTGTGAATTAAGGCTCGACCCAGTAGAAGAGATTCATATACAAATATTAATTTGGAACCGATTAATAGGATATTAATCCCGCGTTCACCGTGTATATAGATTCCCAAGTTTTCAAATAAAAACATTAACAATATAATCTTTATCTGATTTACAACACCTGTAAATACAGATACAAAGACAATTTAGTGTCTTGCTAATTATGTAAAACACAACTAAAATAAAAACCACCATTCCAAAGCCTAGCCATGGAATTAATAGCCGTCTCTGCGGTGGAAAGAAGAAATATAGTTTCGGCGACCTTTTCTCCAGTAATAATAAAAGGGGCCACCGCACCTCGACCGACGACAAGACTCCGCAGACCAAACACTCATAGTTGCATGCTCAAAGACAATAAGGCAGTTGGCCTGCTTGGCTTTAGGTACTATGACATGACAGTTACTTCGTAGGGGATTGCCCACACTTACTAGAAAACGTAAAGATTTGGCCCCGTTGGGGCCATTATGGAATGCGATTCGTCAGGCTCTTTAATATGGTCGCACTTGACTACATTTAGGATTGGACCCTAGATTTAGAGCTTGTTTCCAACGGCCATTTTTATTTTAGCCCCAATTTTGATAAAGCTGGGCTTACAGGGACGGTGAACTACGCGAGCCTACGAATCTCAAAGCGTGGAATAGCTCACTAGAGGCTCCTAGAGGGCAGGCTGGTTTTCCATCGCGGGTATTACTAAGCGAATCAATCCATCGGAGGATGGATTACAGTGGGATGCAAAAAGTGTTAGCCCCCCCCCTAATCTGCCTACATACTCCGCCTACCTAGCTTGTCAAATTCTGCCGGCCAAAACCTTCAGAGCTTTAGTATTTTCTATACCAATCATTTGATCAAGTTCCCTCCGTGAGGTGTGTCTGCGTGGAGGTATTTTTAATATAGATTTATATAGAGAGAGATTCATATACGCGTCTGCATGTTTTGGTATGGAGGTAGAATAGGTAGGCGGTAGGGCGGAACAGGCGGTCAGGATTTGGGGGGGGCTAACACTTTTTGCATCCCACTGTAGTATGGATATGGATGGATTATTTGTCCATCCTTTTCTATTCCTGCCTGGGCCGCCTCACCGCTTCTTGCTTAACCCCATTTTCCAGTATCTCCACACATCCATGTTTAGACTTCAATTTTTCACTCAAGTTTAAATCTCTATTATCTGAATATGGATTCTAAAGTAGATCCGTCACTCCTTGCTCCTTCAGTAACATTAGATTCAAGCTCAGTTCAATCAACACGAAGCCGGACAGCCCTTGCGACATGGGCCCATGCTCGTACAGCAGTAAACAACAGGCTTGGCAATGATGAATCCGAACATTATCGATTTGATTACAGTGATTTTGGGTAAGATTTGTATTTTAGCCCTAACTTGTGCTTAAATATAGTAAAAGTTTTATATATTATACATAACTATAAGAACTAAATATTTTATAAGTATTATAAAAAACTACTAAGGATTGTCTGAGTAATAAGGAATCAAACCTTTGGATAATTATCCCCGATAATACGGGATAATACAGGAATCAGCCCCACTTGTATTATCCGGGATAATTATCCCAAGATTCGCCCCCTTATAACTCAGCTAATTCTTAGTATTTTTTATAATACTTATAAAATATGTAGGTTTTATAGTTATTTATAATATATAAAACTTTTATTGTATTTACACACAAGTTAGGGCTAAAATACAAATATTTGTCAAGGGCTGAACCCGTAGAACCTACAGATAGGTTATGTACAAGAAGGAATCGTTGAAGGAGGGAAGAAAGGAAGAGGAAAATGAGCGGTAAACAAACAAGATGGGGAGTCACGTGACAGGGATCGAGGGCCAATGGCCCAAAGGGCCAACAGGGCCAAAAGGGACAGTAGGGACAGTAGGGACAGTAGGGACAGTAGGGACAATAGGGACAATAGGGACAATAGGGACAATAGGGACAACGGGGACAGTAGGGACAATAGGGACAACGGGGACAGTAGGGACAATAGGGACAGTAGGGACAGTAGGGACAATAGGGACAACGGGGACAGTAGGGACAACAGGGATAATAGGGACATTGGCCCGAGAGGTCAAACGGGCTCTAGCCCTTTACAATCTTACCCAAAATCACTGTAATCAAATCGATAATGTTCGGATTCATCATTGCCAAGCCTGGTAAACAATGAACCTGAATTTAAAGGTCAAAACCGCATTATGTACTGCATTTATTGTCCACCTGAATCACTATATAGTAGTCTAATTACTACTAATTTTCGAAGACATCTGAATTTAAAGCATTAGATTAAGGTTACAGAAGATCCGCGTTGGGTACAATCAGCTATACTTGATAAACTTCAGCAACTCTATGATACAGCAGATTTGTCAGGCCATGCAAGAGAAATAAATGCTCAAGTCCTCTAAAAGGTCCTTGATCAAGATATTATTAATCGGGCATTGGTTTTATTAATTGTTGTACGAAACCTTTTATTCCGGATTGTTAAATGGCCAGAGTTTCATGCATTTTGTCGGGTGCTTAATCCTAAATTAGAAAATTATCTTATTACAGCTCACTCTACAGTCCCTAAGCTAATTGAATCGTCATGGCAAACACAAAAAGATATTGTACGGAAAAAGCTTTAATTAGTATTATTAGATATTTACCTTTTACTTGATATATGGACCTCTCCGAACCGGATTCTTTTTTTTAGAATTTGCGCTTATTTTGTTGATCAAGCTTAGGAAAAGCTTTTAAAAGCCCTCCTTGCCCTTTGTCCAGTGATAAATCATAGTGGCGATGAGCAATTGCTGTTCTTCTTCCAGTTCTTTAGGACTATGGGATTGTACAAAAGCTTGGCTTGATTATTTGTAATAATGCCTCTTTAAATAATATACTCTGCTGTACAGTGAGCACTTATCTTTAGAAGGAAAAGGAGATTAAATGGGATCCTGTATTTCGACAAATTCGCTGTATTAGCCATATTATTAATTTGGCTGTACAAGCTTTTCTATTTCACAACCTAATTGAAATGGATCAACTTGAGTTATATGACGAACAAGAAGCAAAAGGAGAAATAGGTGATGAGGAGAGGAAACAGTCAGCTTTTTAGATTATGGGGCCGCTGGGCAAGCTTTATAATATTATCTTACATATCCGTGGTTCGGCAAGTCGTACAAAGGAGTTTATGTAGAGGGGCGAAATGCCTTGCTATCTAACAACTAGATATACACAAAGAGGAATCGCTGAAAGGGAGAAAGTAAAGGGGAGGAAGTGTGCATTCTTATACTACAAGGTGTTATATAACTATAATAAGCGGACTAATTATATATATTAATTACAGCGAAGGTGAAGCCGAGTAATATACAGGTATAGCCCGTGACATTATCCCCCCCCGGAGAAGTTGTGGGCCCGGAGCCCATAACTTTTAGGGAGTCGTGGTGGGACCCCCTTTTAACTCCCAGATATCCAGTGCGACTGTGTCTTCCATGTTATAAGCAGCTATCTAGATAGGTGTTTAATAACCTATCTATTTAACTAAATATTCGTGCCTAAAGCTATGCCCCCAACAGATCTAACGCTTGTCTAAAATCTTATCTACCCTGTATTTCTTTTCGCCATCCACAAGGAACCCCGGGGGTTGCTAGTTAGGTCGGGATTGGCTCGGCAGTGTATTCTTAGCTACCAGACGTAGTAATATAGTATAGAAAACAGGGTAAATAGCTATTAATATATTTAACTTGTAGGCGTGGAAACCCACATGCTTAATAATAGTAAACTTGGCATGTTAGGTGTTTAGTTTCTTGCAGGGACAGTTAGTTTTAATATTCTAAAAATTAAGCTATACTTTATCTCCTACTTAGTACTAAGGTGCTGTATTCCAGTGTTGGT